TAAAGCTTTACAAAAATATATATATATATATATATATATATATATATATATATATAAACTAAATTGGGGAGAAAAACTAATGTATAATGATTATATAAATTTTAATGTAAAACAGTTATCCTCAAAAATAAGCTTTTTTCAGTTTTTGGAATTGTTTATATATATATATATATCAAATTACATATGATACAAACTGTTTTCTTTCTTTCTTCAGCATTACTGAAAGAAAATTGAAGGCCTGTAAAAAGATACGCCAAAGAAAACGGGGGGGGGGGGGGCCACATAATAAAAGCACTTTCACAGAGGGATGCAGTTATGTGTTGCAGTTTGTCTTTGTCAAACCAAACAGTTGTCTCTTTTGTGCAAAAAAGGCACTTTGAAGAAGCAAAAAACATCTTCGTATGCAGTGACATCAGTTGCAAAGACTTGCAAACTTGTACGGCAAATGACGTCTTAAGAGGTCAAATACTCAAAAAAATCTTCTTTGGAATCTTAAAAGTGCTCTATTTGTAAATGCTTTTATGACATTAAATTACAAAATGAGCAAAAGATCAAATATTACGAGTCAGAAGAGCTACAAGAAAATGCTCAGCCTTTAAACAGAAAAAAATTGCTTATAAAGAATTTATTTATTGATATGAGTGTAAAGTTTCATAATTCTTTGCTGTAAATTAACTGTATGACAGCTAGTAGTCATAGAAGTGTGTGGGGGAGGAATCAACATGCATATTACAAATCTATTACACCCATATTACCCAGTTATATATTAATATGCCAAACATTGCGGCATGAACTTTGTTCCATTGTTGCATTCTAACTGACATTTTCTGTACTAGCGGCTGTTTAAAAAAATAGGAGCACAAGTACAAGTACAAGAGGAATCTACTCATGAAAACAAATTGACAAGTTAAGTTACTCACTGTTTTAATGAGGTTTCAAATGCTAGTTTTTCTTTGCTAATGTTAGTTTTGACTGGGTAAAAAATTTCAACACTGCGCCCAAGAAGCATCCACAATGTGGATCCTTAAACTTCGTAGTCCTTAAACTTGATTTTCCTTCAGTCCTTCATTCTACAATTACAACATATGAAAATATTTACATATTAAATTGGTATTAGGAACTGGGGATCAGTTATTCATTAAGCTCCTGTGTGAAATATGTGGTTTCTTCTCCTTCAAAAATGACTGTGCATGTCCCACATCCCATTGCGGTGAGGTCGGCTACTGTCTTCATCTTCTTCGATGATGCTTTGACAATAAAATATTGAGAATCTCGAACTGTCACAAATCTTCACAGACAGAGAAACAAAAACATGAGAGACTTGAGATGTACAAAAATATCCACCTTGTTCACGAACTAAAGCTTTCTGGATGAAAACATCCTAAATACTGGATTGCTATGGATTGATTATTTCCCCTCGGCCTGTAATTCCTTTCAGTTCTGATCAAATCTGATTCATCCGTAAGTCCGCATCAAAGATATCCATGTTTGCTTGGCACACAATAGACCAATGGTTGTGAGCTCCTCAGAGTTCCATAGCAAAAGCCTGTCATCTATGGATGATTGACAGATATTACAGCTTCAACCGACACTATACAGACTCAAAAGATGAAACAGGACTTGGATGTTGACGTAGGTTATTTTGTAGATCTAGTTCTAAGGAGTTTGGTCCTCTGAGCGCTCATGTGGCCGGTGTTTCAGCCTGCAGGCTGGACATGCGGATCTGTGAGCTGCTCTTGCTGAGGATGGAGAGCTGTGTGCCCCCGTTCACACCACTGCTGGCCAGAGACGGATGCCTGTGCTTCATATCCACAGCAAAGTACCGGTTCACCGTCCAGCTGCGCCATTTTCGTTTGATTTCTGACTGCACCTTTGGGGAGAAACTTCAGTGGGTTATTAAGCTGATTGGATCCTACAGGAGGAGATCTGCAGATCTCTTTCCATGCTGCTCATGGACAAGCTTGAATTTTAAATCCAGCTGGTTAATAATTTACATGTAAGGTCATGTAATGAGCACTGCAATGAGAAAGGGCCTCCAGAGACACTGCTTTATGCAAATAGAATGCAATTTAGATGTTTTCTAGGTAGAATTTATAATAATGAAAGCATATTTTATCAAACGCAAAAAAATAAAAAAATAAATGTATATTAAAATTAACATGCTTTTATCTAAAACAGTTACTGAAAATGTTTTTAAAAAAGAAAGAAAGAAAATATAAATGTATCTTGATTTTTCCCATAGGAGTCCATTCGAACTGTGGTAACTGGGTTTTGTTAAACCAAACTGCACACTTTATTTTTCTTTTCAATAGCACTTAAAGGACTTACCTCTCCATTAAGAAAGCAGTAAAGGACAGCTACTACAAAACCCTGAGAAGAAAATAATGACATCAAAATAATACAGTACACACAAAATAATAACTACAGACTATAAATTACAGTGTACAAAATACACATGAAATCTAAATAAATAAATAAATAAAATGAAATCATGTTGTCTCTTTGTACAAATATGAAAAGGCAAAAAGGGGCTTCTACCTGAAAAGAACCAAGACCAAGTTCAAACACAAGTCTTTCTCTTTTGCTGACATCTTCTGGTGTGAAAGCAAACACGGTATAGTGAATTCCAAATAGAGGAATGAGGAGAAGAGTGGAGCGAGCCAGACGCCTGTCAATCACACAACATTAACAAGTCATAAAAAGACTCCACATCTGATTGTGATGATTTTCATCTTAGAAATGGGAAAATATAAAAAATATTGTGGTATACAGTGCTGTGAAAAGGTTTTTGCCCCCTTCCGGCTTTTTTACTTTTTTGCACATTTGTCACGCTTAAAAGATTCAGATCATCAAACAAATTTTAATATTACACAAAGATAATGCAAGTAAATACAAAATGCAGTTTTTCAAAAAAGACAAGAGATATGGTGTATAATTATTGCTGCCCTGCTGAATGAATCAATATAATAATACAGTAGTTTACAGTCAAACGTCTTTTGCGATGGAATATGTACTATCCTTACCATGATAGAGGCAAGAACAGGACCCTTGATCACCCACCAGATGGCAGCATTGTCATTAATATCCCAGCAACTGCAGGCAATGTCAGACATTTATCCAATTTGATTGGTTTTTCATTTTATTTTCAGCTTTTTTTTTTCATTACATAACATATTAGTTATAGATATTATATAAAAATAATCCTTTATCTTACCCAATGTTATCAAAATGAGCTCTTAAGACTGCCCAGACAGCCACACAGATTGTTGGAGTACCTGGAAAAACATGAACAATCTAAATAAATATGAGTAATTTCAGATTTTCACATGATATAACAAACACTTATTTTATGAATTATTACAAACACATATTTTGCTTTATATATACAAAATATATGTATGAAATACATATGATGTATTTTTATATTTTCTAATATACATCCTCCTGACTACCAGGAAAAAAAGTTTTGTGAATTTAGTATTTTGTGATGTCATTACATTGTTTAGAGCATAAGAAAAAATTTGAAAAATGAACTTTTTGAGAAATGATATTTTATTCATATGTTATGCTATGTCCTCTGTAGAGGACATTGGGACTTTAAAAAGTCCTGATTTTTTTTAAATAAAAAGACATGAATAGACATGAAAAGGCAAAAACAGTGGGATTTTTGTTTCAATCACAAATCAATTTTCATTTTTAATAGCAAACATTATGTAAAGATGATTCTCAACTATGTTATGAAAGATATTTTTAAAGACCAGTTTTCCCATTATATACAATGTATCTATAAACTGTATCTAATTTGCATATTAATGTGTTTTTGGGGCAACATAGAATGAACAAATAAGTGCAATAATGGGAGTAAAAATGGGCAAGATTTTAATAATAATATCTCATATTTCATATGAATATTGATATATAATTTTTTTTCTCTGTTCATTTGTTGTGTCTCCCAATATGTGTAATAAACATGCTTTAAGTCCTGGTGTCCTCTACAGTGGACATGTATGAAATCGACCTTCATAACAGAAGGTCATATTTTGATTTGAAAATAATAAAATAAAATAAAATAAAATAATAATGTATGATTTATTTTATACATACAGATTTTATATTTACACAAATGTCATTGTATACATATACTTATATATAGTTTTTGTGTAAATTTTAATTTTTTTCAGTTAATGTTTATTTTTAAGTAACCTTTTTATGGTTTTAGAAATAATAACTATATAAGCTACATTAACCCTGGTCTTACCCCATCCAATAATGGTGTACCAGTAGAAGTATCTTTTCTCAGGAAAGAATGTCTCAACAAGCAGCGTAAAAAGATACAAGCCCTCGATAAACAGCCAGAAGTAGTTTGACAAAACGCAATAATGAAAAAATACCATCACTGCTTTACACTCCACCTGCAAAAAGAACAACATAGAGTGAATGCCACATTATCAAAATATTTCTTTGATTTTGATTAACTAAAGCATCATTTACATTACATAATCGCACTGAAAAATTAGTTAAGTGCGTCCAGGTTTGGAATGACACGAGGATGACTAAATGATAACATAATGTTTATTTTTGAATCAACTATCCCATTAAAAACAGAAGAGTCACACTGTTGCACAGGGAAACATTCAAAGCACATTCAGCTAGCTGGCCAAACTAAAAGCAACTGTGAGGTGACTACAGAGACCTCATTATCTGAAGCAAATTAAAGCACATAACAGCAACACAAACGTGTGATTCTGAGACTAATTCCTTTCTCAAAGAAATGACATGGGCAACCCGGGATGTTAATGGGCCCATCACCATGACTGCCTGGGTATTTGTGTGCAATGTGAAGAGAGAGAGACTGAGACTCACGGTGTGTATAAAGCAATGGTTGCTGTCCTCCTCTGCATATAAAATGCCGTCTTTAATGAAGACTGAGATGGCCCTCAGGATGAAGGACACAAACAAATTCATATGAATGAAATTCCTGGTGCAATGCAGCTTCCTGAGGGTAAAGCCAACCACAATAAAGAAACATTATATAAAACATAAAAAAATGCATCTTATATGTAAAGTGCTATTCAAAAGTTTAGAGTTTTTTTAAATGTTTTTTGAAGAAATATATTTAATTGATCAAAAAATATATTAGAAAATAAAACATTAAAATTATTTTCTATTTTAACATGTTTTGTATTTTTTCCCCCTGTATATTTGTAATTTATTATTGTGATGGCAAAGCTGTTTTTTTGCAGCCAATACTCCACTCTTCAGTGTCACATGACCCTTCAGAAATTGAATTCTATAATTGAGTTTATAAGCTGATACAATGTTCTCTAAAAAAATAAAAAGTTGAATAGAACAGCATTTTTTATAATATAGATATTTAGTAACAATATAAATGTCTTTACTATCACGATTAAACAATTTGATATATCCTTGAAAAAAAACACTGATAAGTGCATCTTGTACATCTTGGTGTATTAGTTCAGTATTATATTACAATATACAGTTTGAAATGTCCAACAATCTACATACTAATTCAATTTTACTAATTTCTCATTTTTTTACTATTTAATTCTTAACTTAAATAATTATGCTCCAAATATGTGACCCTGGAGCACAAAACCAGTCATACGTAGCACGGGTATATTTGTAGCAATAGCCAAAAATACACTATATGGGTCAAAATTATCTATTTTTCTTTTATGCCAAAAATCATTAGGATATTAAGTTAGGATCATGTTCCATGAAGATATTTTGTAAATTTCCTACCGTACATATATCGAAAATGTATTATCATTAGTAATATGCATTGCTAAGGACTTCATTTGGACAATTTAGAGGCAATTTTCCTATCCTCATAAACCATAAATCAATAGAAAGCTTATTTATTCAGATGATGAATAAATCTCAATTTTAAAAAATTGACCCTTATGACTGGTTTTGTGGTCCAGGGTCACATATAATTTACAACTGTGTATAAAAATACCTATTAGTGAAAGCTCTTTAATACCTATGTGCAGGTGTTTTTCTAAACACATCACTAAGACAAATGTGTCCAAATATATATTATTTAGTTTCCACTGCAGCTTAAGAACAGAATGAACGCTCGTGACCTCTTTCTTGACCTGGGTTGACCTCTCACCTGAACCTGCAGAGAATGGCCATGGCAGTGGTGAGAGACACCAGTGAGGTGCTGTAGCCCACAGTATACAGAGCCTTTACTGACACATAGTACATGTCCTGCAAACAAAGAGAAGAAATGCTAATTGATGTCAATACAATAAATACATTTCTTTAGAAATTTTGAAGGCTGAAAGGGATAAGGAATCTTCTAAGGAGATACAGAAGGAACAGAAAGCAGGAAAAGTGAAGGACACTTACTGGACTTGTTCCATTTTCATTAAAAGGGCAAACATCTACATAGTGAGGGAGCATCTCTGACCAGCCATCCTCGGTGCAGTTACGGCTGACCTTTCCAAACTCTACAAAAGGTGCCAAAATCCGATACATTTCATGAAGAAGAAAGAAAGAAAGAATGAGGAGCCAAATAATAATAAATCAAATTATTTTGTGAAATAAATAGACTTTAAAAAAATAAATAAGGAAAAAAAGTAGAAACTGCAATATAACTATTTTAAGTTGAAGTACTAAAATGACAAAAACTAAAACTGAAATAAAATAAATAGAGCTAAATAGACAAAAGCATTTAACAAAATGACTAAAACTGATCATATAAAAATGATCTAAATTGCCTAATTCTAAATGTTCTATAAATAATACTAAGATAACACTGTTACAATCTAATTCTTTACATTATTCTGGTCTATAGATAAGGACTGATTCCAAGGCAAAAACCTTAGTCTGATTACTTAACATCATATCTTCTCAATAAGCCTCACAATTTGAGGTATTGTTCATGTACTCACCATCATTCTCCTCACTCATGACTTCAAATAGCTCAGGACAAGGCATCCAGACCACTTGACCAAATTTTGCTGGCTGCCAGCAGGTGAGGTTGTCCCACATCCATCGGCAGACTAGAGGATAACACGGGAAGACATGGAATATCATAGATTTAAATCTCCGCCTAACCAACAAGTATGAACATTTTATGTATTACATGTAGCAATCATATGTGACCCTTGACCACAAAACCAGTCATAAGGGTCAATTTTTCTAAATTGAGATTTATACATCATCTGAAAGCTAAATAAATAAGCTTTCCATTGATGTATGGACAATATTTGGCCGAGATACAACTTATTTGAAATCTGGAATCTGAGGGTGCAAAAAAATCAATATATTGAGAAAATCGCCTTTAAAGTTGTCCAAATGAAGTTCTTAGCAATGCATATTACTAATCAAAAATGAAGTTTTAATATATTTACAGTAGGAAATTTACAAAATATCTTCATGGAACATGATCTTTATTTAATGTCCTAATGATTTTTGGCATAAAAGAAAAATCAATCATTTTGACCCATACAATGTTTTTTTTGGCTATTGCTACAAATATACCCCAGCGACTTAAGACTGGTTTTGTGGTCCAGGGTCACATATATGTCATATGTTAATGTATGAAATTGCTCCAATTTTTAATAGATTGCATGTGTTTTTATATGACAATATACTAAATATATATGGAAATTTAATATCTGTACATATATATTACAGTTGTGTATGGGGCAACACTTATATACTATTGTAAATAAAACAATTTTAATTTAAAATGACGAACTTCTGGGCTTATAAAATCTCAAGATTAAAGTTTTGTGGTAACTCTGCCTCTGAACCAGTTTTTATTGGGGTATTTACGGCACCTGAGAATAGAACAGCCTAGTTTAAGATATATTTAGGTGTGCTACTTGACAGCCATTCTTATGATTCAGTGAAAATCAGCGCAAATGACAAGCGACAAAAATAGGCTTCCATCTGCTTCAATGAGGCAATAGATTGCAAGAATTCAATCAAAACAATGCCACAGCATTTTAGAATATAAAAAGAAAATGCAACCAAGTCATCAAATATCAATCGAATGTTTTTTCCTCCAAATTGAATGTTAAGATAATTAGAAGCTTAAACCATGTCGATCTTTGTTATTTTGTTATACTTTCTCTGTTTTCTCCACACATAATCACATGCTGTCAGCATGGCTTTATGATATGTTTTATATTGTGTCTGCATATGTGTATATGAGCATGCAGAACATCTTAGTTTATTTATTTATCCCTTTATCTATTTTTATTTTGGCATTGCTCTTCAATAAATTCCTCTAGTGATATATTCAGAGGGAAAAGAGACTTTCACAGTGAACTAACCATGTGATGCTAAAGCATCTTATCATCTCCATCAAGGATTAAGGATTCAAAGAGAAATAGTAAAGAGAGCAAGTGTGTGTGTGTGTGTGTGTGTGTGTGTGTGTTGGGAAAAAAGCCTGCTGATCTTGATTTGCATGAGCAGAACAGCATCTGCCAGCTGTGTTTTCCCTCTGCTCTCAGCCCTAGCAAATGTTAGAATGTTTTCACAGCGCTTTCAAAATATTACCCAGATATTCTTGCAAAGACTTCATTAAAACAGAAGAACTAACAATATATTTTATCTAGTCTCTTTATAATTAGTTTTGGGGAGTTTCTTTGTCCATTCCATTTGCATTCTTACATTCTTATTAGTAAGCTCACACACAACACTCTTTCCTGCAACCTTAAAAAGTATACACTTTAAATTACATGCATAAATTCAAGCAACGCAAGGTTGACATTTGCTTCTTGGTGGTCTGCATAAATGTCAAACATTTCTAACAACAAAAGGCCAAGCGAGTGTTTTAACATCTTGTCTCTTGAATTATAACAATCTGCAACAAAGACACATAGCAATACTTTCAACAATCAGAATTAATTGTTTTGTTGGTTTATTTCATTTTGGTTTATGTCCAACATATCTTTGTAGTTTCATACAACATTCTAGAATGTTTAAGATGGAATTTTCCATTCCAAATCTTAAGCATCTTTTCATTTAAAACAGGAATCGTAAACTTTTTTTAAGCATATGACCCTTTGTAGGATAAATTATATTAATAATAACAAGCAATTTTTTAAGATTTAAAAAATATATATAAATAAATAAAATAATTAACTTTATTAAATTGTCATTTCAGAAGTTTTAAATGAATGTTCTTCAATGTGACTTTTGTGATTTGTGATTACATTTTTTTTTTCATTATTCCCACAAATAGCCATTTCTACCTGATAAAATAACATTTAAAGTAAAAAAAAATTTAATCAATTTGAAAATTTAGAGCTTGACATAACTAGAAAGAGCTATATTCATTATAAAAGTGTCCTTTACTTTTTTTTTAAATTTAGTAATTTCCATGATGGGATACAAAGATGGAGCAGGAACCCCTGTTACATATTGTGCAAAACTGGATGTTGCATATTAAGCCAGATTTATAATAACATGTGCCTATTATCATATTAATGATGTCATGGTTACATTCCAAAGCCATTAAAACAATAACTGGGGGTGAACATTTTCTCTTTAGCAACTTTTAATGTATTTTTGTTTTTTTAACAAAACATTTATTTGAGATGAATAATTGATGGACCTCTGGCAGTACTGTCTCAATAAAGACTCCTGCATAAAGCAAACTGACATGTATCACTCAAGAGCTGGCACTGAGTAGCTATTAAAAACCGACAACTGTCAAACACTCTCTATTGTCTGTCATGTTAGGTATTTATATCAATCTCATTTTCTCTGCAGCAGTGCCAAACACAGACCCAAAGGAAGCTCCAGAAACTGGATACAGCCTATATAAAAGGAAATTGATGAAAAATGGCTCAAAAATAATACCACTACATATTCCAAAGCCTTGCCTGTTTAGATGGCCATAAGCTCTGTTATAGCACAGATTATTCTACAAGCAAATATACTGTATTTATAGATTAAGAAATTCATATAAAGAATTATTATATCTATGTGAACACAAACAAGCATAGTTCAATTCTTTGGGGTTGCAAGGAGGACATTTTTCTTCCAGGGATACAGTGCAACGCTCACACAAAATGACAGATTATGATTTCTCTCCTGAGAACAGCTTTAATTACTTGTGTAAATTGGACACAGATGCGTGATTAGTACATATTCCAAAGCCTTGCCTGTTTAGTTGGCCATAAGCTCTGTTATAGCACAGACCCAAGGCAGTGTTTTAATGTAAAATACTGCTGGGAGATTATTCTACAAGCAAATATACTGTATTTATAGATTAAGAAATTCATATAAAGAATTATTATATCTATGTGAACACAAACAAGCATAGTTCAATTCTTTGGGGTTGCAAGGAGGACATTTTTCTTCCAGGGATACAGTGCAACGCTCACACAAAATGACAGATTATGATTTCTCTCCTGAGAACAGCTTTAATTACTTGTGTAAATTGGACACAGATGCGTGATTAGATAAACGACAATGAAATACTGCACACTGAGACTTTCTGAGAGCATTGCAAGACCTAACTTATGAATTATGACTACTTATGAAATACATAAATTATTCAAAGAGCCAAAGATCCAATCAGTGGTTATTTTCAGCAGCTAAAAATAGGTAAAGTAAATGAGTAAATTTGGCAAAATAATGAGATAAACATGAAGTGATGTAAACAGGCTACTGTAGCCCACACAAACCACAGCAAGCTTCCAGTAATCCTGTGTGTTATGTGCTTTCTGCATTTATTTGCTTTAGAGGAATAGTTTACCCAAAAATTCTCTCATTAATTACTCACCCTCATGTTGTTCCAAACCTGTAAAACCTTTGTTCATCTTCGAATACAAATTAAGATATTTTTGATGAAATCCGAGAGCTTTCTGACCCTCCATAGACAGCAATGATATTCCCACGATCAAAGCACAGAAACGTAGCAAGGACATCGTTAAAATAGTCCATGTGACATCAGTGCGGTGAAGACTGGCACGGAAGTGCGTGATTAGATAAACGACAGGGCTGCTTGTCTTTGTTCTCCAGAATCTTCCTGAAATACTGCACACTGAGACTTTCTGAGAGCATTGCAAGACCTAACTTATGAATTATGACTACTTATGAAATACATAAATTATTCAAAGAGCCAAAGATCCAATCAGTGGTTATTTTCAGCAGCTAAAAATAGGTAAAGTAAATGAGTAAATTTGGCAAAATAATGAGATAAACATGAAGTGATGTAAACAGGCTACTGTAGCCCACACAAACCACAGCAAGCTTCCAGTAATCCTGTGTGTTATGTGCTTTCTGCATTTATTTGCTTTAGAGGAATAGTTTACCCAAAAATTCTCTCATTAATTACTCACCCTCATGTTGTTCCAAACCTGTAAAACCTTTGTTCATCTTCGAATACAAATTAAGATATTTTTGATGAAATCCGAGAGCTTTCTGACCCTCCATAGACAGCAATGATATTCCCACGATCAAAGCACAGAAACGTAGCAAGGACATCGTTAAAATAGTCCATGTGACATCAGTGCGGTGAAGACTGGCACGGAAGAGAAGAAATTGTTGAATACAGTTGTTATTTTTGTTTTCTTTGTGCACAAAAAGTATTCTCATAGTTTCATAACATTAGGGTTGAACCACTGATGTCACATGGACTATTTTAACGATGTCCTTACTACCTTTCTGGACCTTGAACTTGTCAGTTGCGTTACCATCTATGCAAGGTCATAAAGCCCTCGGGTTTCATCGAAAATATCTGATTTTTTGTTCCGAAGATGAACAAAGGTCTTATGGGTTTGGAACAACATGAAGGTGAGTAAACATTGACTGTACATGTATTCCCCCAGCTAACAGGTAACGTTCTCAGTGCTAACTTAAACATTTGTTCAAGTTAACTGGTTTTTAATAATGTTTTCAAAACATTCTTGGAACCTATTTTTGTTAGCTGGTCCCCTCCGTAAGTTTCAGTTTATAGCCTAAAACTGTGGGCAGCTCTAGTTTCATGTTAACGCATTAATCCATTCCCTAAGGACAGCTTCTTGTCAAATCAAAATGTCAGCATTTCATTACTGACTGTGATTGTGACTGTCCAAAGCATTATGATCAATGCCACATGCAGACAGCACTAGAGGGGTGTCAGAGTCGGTTCTGGAAAAGCTCTGAGCTTATGATCTTCCCTCCACTTCCTGTGAACCATCACAAGGTCTTACATTCTCCAGCTTAGTCTGACAGCTTTAAGCTTAATATCATCAAGCATTTATTTCAGATCACTTCTAAAATCCATAATCTAAATAGAAACAAATTTTTAAACTTATTTTAAATGTTTCTTATTATAAACATCTGCAAGCATGCCGTATTTAGATGACTAAAATATTTAGTCTCTGGTAAATCTATTGCTTCACTTCACAGTTAAACACTAATAGCTTTGCACTGCATAACAAAACGGTAACATGCAGCATTTACTGTATGTGGGGATCTAAAATTACAACTCAAAAACTGTGTGGATTGAATTAGCAAATATGCATAATGTACTTGCAGTCTGACACATAATATGTACCACCACCACATAAACACATCACCAAAACACACACAGACTCACACATTTGATTGATCATGCTGAGGATTGTTTTATTAGAAAATGTATTTAAATGTAGTATTATTGTTATAACTATTGTTATTACATTTTTACCATTTTTACAATTTTGCCTCAAAAAAATACAAACACAGAGTGTACATAAATGAAGTTCTTACCCAATTCAGGTTCACTGCTAGGGTCATCCATTGTCATCCTTTCCATGCACTTCTCTTTCTCTAACTGAATGACACAGTCTGGGTGCATGCAGTAGATCTGAAAGATACAGTATTTAATAGAGTGAAATGTTTGATTTAGGTACAACAGCTGTATAGGTTGAGCATACAGTACTTTGTAAAAGTCACAAAGTAAGTACTTTTTCAAAAGAAGAATCTACTCATAGATTATGCCGTTTCTGGCAAGCTGTAGTTTTCAAGTTTGGATTTCTAGAAAATCGACGTGTATGAGTTTGCTTAGAATGAGGTTGTCACTTTTATAAAGAAATAGTTCAAACGAAATAAAGATGTGCTTAAAATGTTCTCATCATCAGGCCACGAGTCTGTTTCTTTATCAGAAATGATTTTGATCATCAATGAATGCTCTACATGAATTGGAGCTGACAGAATGAGAGTCCAAACAACTGATAAAAATGCCATAATAATCCTCAAGTAATCCACACAACTCCAGTCCATCAGTTAACATCTTGTGAAGAGGAAAGCTATGTATTTGTAAAAAACAAATCCATTTATTTAGGCGTTTCAATCCTTGTTGTTTGAACTCTCATTGTGATGGCACCCATTCACTGCAGAGGATCCTTTGATGAGCTAGTTTTGTAATGCAAAATTTTTCCAAATCTCTTCCGATGAAGAAACAAACTTGTCTACATCTTGGATGGCCTGAGGGTGAGTAAAAGTTTATCAAAATTACATTTTTGTGTGAACTATTTTTCTTTAAATAACCGAACTGTGTGTGAACTTAACAGTGTTTAGCACTTAAATATAGGACTGACAGCCCTTTTAAACACTGGTCAGAAATTAAAGTGATATATTGCAAATTATTTTATATGTGTGAAATTATGAAAGAGCAATAATCTTAATTTCAGAAGGTCTGTTTTCCCCCCTTTTTTTCTTCTGTATTTTTTACAAAGCACCCCTTATGGGCCCCTGTATCATATTAGATTAATGTCTAAACTTCTAGAAAGCAACACTTTATCCGTCAAGAGTTCTTGTAGCCTGTGATGATACATCCAAACTGACAGAGTACAAGGTTACTAAATAAACAATGACAGCAGCCTGACAGTAGCCAAAGGCAGTGAGACTTTCAAAGAACTAATAATAAATTCAATGCAATTATTGCATTCCAAATGACTATGTGTTTAAACCCACTTCAAAATTACAGACAATAAACATAATTTCACTCAACATCTAATATGTATTTATGAGACGGCATTCATAATTATAAACACAGATTAAGTTCTAGATCTTTTAGAAGGGCTAAGAGAGAAAATAAACAAAGCTTTGCTTATCGGTAAATATAATTGGTAATCTTCCATTGCTGCTGTGGCGATTTCTGAAAACCATTCTTTACTTTAGTGTTAGGAGAAAAAAATAATATTCATATAAATTGCTGCCCATTCCAAGCAGGTCTTGAATATTGCTTATCTTAATGTTAAACAGTTTTCAAATAGAGACAATATTACACACACCCACACACAGCACACAAGACATTAAATATCTTCAGCCCAGTGTCGAATGACATTCTGAGCCAATCCAAACGTCTGCTCCTTCTTATCTCTCCCACTCAGTGTACGCTTTAAACAATCGCTCCTTCCTGCTTCATGCACTACCAGACCATTCATCTTATATCTTTGTAGCAAAACAAAATTGACAAATGTTCCACAGCACATACGTTTCTTCACACACAAGGTGGTGTTCTCCATCCAGTTGAACAGTTGCAATAGAGACAAATCAGTTCTGTCAATATACTGTTATTGTCTGTTAGAGTACATCTTGACGCTCACATGTATCCAGTCTTTATTAATGGATATGAGCAAAGACTTGTTTGTTGCTGTCAACTAGGTTACAGTTGTGTTTACAGTTGTAGTTAAGGGCTTTAATAAACCATATTGTGAAATGTTTGTATTAGAAATATTGTTTGAAAACTTTGAGATAACATTGAAGGCCAAAGCAAAATGTGAGAGAAAACTAATCAACATGGACTCAAGTCCATCAATGAATCCCTTGTGCAAATCTATAATTAAGGCATTCATCTTTAAACAATTGTTTCTGGCCAATTACCATAATCTATAAGAACATTTAATAACATTTCCTCCAGTGAAAATTTTGGATATGAGAGGACAACAGGTGATGGACTTTTTCACTAGGGGAAGGGTTATAATTAGTGCTGTCAAAATTAGCTTGTTAACACAGGTGATTAATTTTTCCAGTTTAACTGCGCTAAAAATATTTAACACAGGGGTGGAGCTAGGGTTGGCCACCCCACTCACAAATGCTGCTTCTGTCTCTTTTTTTATTGACTAGAATTGCATTTATTTAGATGCAGAACATCTTTATGACCACATCAAATGGAAGACTTTTCAGATGCGCACTCCACTTCACCTCAGCGCCAGGCGCTAGTCAAACGAGCGCGAGGTGACGAGGGAGCTTCAGTAGAACAACAGTGAACTCCGGTCAGATGAGACATGCAAGTAAAAACAAATTTTCCTGTCCTGACTGCCGTTATACTGTGCTCGTAGTGCGTGCTCTTCAACTGCATGCACAAATATGGTGGCGCGCGCTGTAGCCCGTATCATTTCATATTAAAGTGCAAATGAAACTGTGAGCTTGTGTGTCAGATCTGCTTCACTTTCAGCAGTGGCAGCTCTTAAAGTAATAGCAGCCAAATAACCTAATAACCCAGCTGCTGTGATGTCTGTTATTCAAAGAACAAAAGAAAAAGTGGAAATCAGTAACTTTTGAAATTTAGTGTTTGATAACTACAAACTAATTGTTTGATAACAATTTCTGTATATTTCCTAATTGCTGAAGAGCACAGGTAAATATGGGATTTATTATAATGGGTTTATGTGAAGATGTCATAAGTTCACTTACATTAAAAGTTGAATGTGAAATTATTGCAATATAAAAGTATATTTAATGTTAGGTGGGATTCATCAAGATTAATTTCAGAAAAAAATGTGTGGTTAATTGGTTAAATTTTTTTTTTTATCGATTGACAGCAGTTATAATTAATTATGGACTTTAAAGTTAGAACACCTTGGATTTGTTTCTTTAAGATGTTAATTTATGGACTAGGGTCCTGAGGATTACTTTTGGATTATTGTGATGTTTTTATCAGCAGTTTGGACTCATTCTGACGGCACCCATTCACTGCAGAGGATCCATTGGTGGGCAAGTGATGTAATGATAAAGAAACAAATTCATCTTAGATGGCCGGATGGTGAGTAAATTTTCAGCAAATTTTCATTTTTGGTGAACTATGCCTTTAAACCTGAACAGATTCCCATGTTAAAAGAAAAATCCTTCATCAACAGAACTACAATGCACAATGGGTTTAACAGAATATGAAATCACATTATGAGATAATAATAAACTAATCACTTTTGAAACCCTCCTTAATACTGCTGATTTGAGACCCCTGAGATTGTGGTTACTGCGATAACTGGTCTCAGAGCACCATGCTCCTTGTGCATTGACTTGAAAACATGAGCAAAATTTAGTAAACATGAGCACCTGCATTAATATTCATGAGGGCTGTGTAAGCTCTCACCCCTCACCCAGGCTGCATCACAAAGCTGATTTCCATCATAAAGAGACTACGCAATTCACTCCTACATCATGACAGCAACACAAAAATTCCTACAAACAAGCAAATCCATAAAACGAGTTCCCAGTACGTTTCTTTCTTTCTTTTTTCCCCTCCTGCTTCTTTTGCTGTCAAACTACATTTTACATTTACTTTTTTGTCCCCTTTATCTTTCTACTCCACTACAAAAGTAGAACACATTAATTCTTGTGGAATTGAAATTTATTTACACCAGTCTATGTTTTGTCAGTGACTATGTTTTTGAAAAGCGTGAAATTTGCTTATTTTTCTCTGTCTGCTGTCTTCAGTGTGGGTGTGGGAATATCACATGGCATTTACACTCAGGTAAAGAGCAAACAAATTATAGTTGTCTTATTTACAGTTTATAGTCGTATTTAAAGTTGTTTCTGCATATTACGATGTGATAGAAGCTGGTAGGAAGCATTGTAAAGTTTAAAAATACATACTTCAGCTTTAATGAAACACCACGTCATTTCATGCTGGAAACAAATCAAAATAGAAAAGTAGAGGAAATACTCATCGCAAGTTTCCTTTGTTTTTCTCTTGTAACAATAATCCCATACAGTGTATCACATCAGTTATCCCCAGATTAACTGGAACTGGAAGGAAAAAACCTAAGTGAACTGTGGGATTAGTTGATGTCTGTAGGGAAACTCTTTCTTTTAATCTTATATTACAGTGAGCATTAGCGTAAAGGGAATCTAAATCAAACCTAAACCTTCTAAATCTGTGATTTAGAATTTTGTAACATTATATGTAATGGGAAAAATTTGTATATTATTAGTTCATAGTCATAGTATGAACAAGCTCATAGTATATAATTAGTTTGAGCGTTTTTACATTATTTATTGCTGATTAGATTTATTTCAAAAAGTGTTGCTTATGTGTGGTGATCAGATCAATATGAGAGAATACAAATAGCAAAATCTAGGCCAAAATCTACATAAAATCATGACTTGGAACTGTATCCTTATTGTGCGTAATAATTTTAGTCATTTCAATTAATTTATAGTACTACACTCTACCTACTTCAATTGTTGTTTTATAGCATTTCTTTTTGGCCTTTACTCATTTGTTAATAATAATGAAAGTTTTTTTTGTCTTTAGTTCATACATGTTTTTGAACCTGTTATTGACTTTCATTCAACACTACTAAACAGACACTTGCAAATATTTTTGTCAGCAGAAGTAACATTGTTCATCCTGTAATGGTCATAATTAAATCTGCTAACTGAGAGAGAGCAGAAGCATAACCTCCTGTAAACGTTCCATTGCAATGCCACTGCCAGCTTTTAGTGTTAACTAAAAGTGAAATAAAACAGCATGGCCTTTGTTGCTTGAAGTACTCACTGTACCATAACTGTTTTGGCTCTTGGACAGTTTACATTTGGCCTGTCTGGTGCCAATGATCTTTGGATGCCAGGAACGATCTAAGTGCCAGTGTGTATGGTGACGTAAATTGCCCTTGGACGTTTGTTTCTCCTCAGCTGGAGGCACAGACAGTAGACCAAAGAGAGAATGGTTCTTCATGTAAACAAAGAAGGCACTTCTCCCCTCAGTTATGAGAGGATACCATGTGTATGAAACGAGCAGTTATCCAGGAAACAATAAATGCCTTTACATTTGACCTATTGTATGTGGATTATTTACAGAAAGCAATAACAAGAGAAAGACGATGAAAAAGGATGTGCGGGGGTCTTTTTCTCCCCCAGACCCCACCCGCTATAAATTTCTCTCACGCTCTTTCTCTCTCTTCCTCCTTCTCCCGCACACTCTCTGTCTCATTCAAACCTTTTATTCTCCTCTTTGGAATATTTCTTCTCTGAAGCCATATATACAGTATATATATATATATATATAGGATGGATCATGGATGAAATCTGTCACACATGCATAAGATGGATCTCTGGCCTCATTTCTCCACTGAATATTCTTCATAAATCTCATTAGAGTGTGTTAATGTCGAACTAGGCTGACCAATCGTGAACTAAGTCACTAAAGTCTGCACAGCTATATTTAGATTGTCAATTGTTGTTTGAAGAGGAAGGAGAGGGATTACCATTAGCATATATACACATTTCTCTGTTTAAAACACTGAGTGAATACATAGCGCAAATCAGGAATTAGGGAATTTGGAGTCTCCTTCTCTCTTTATCCTTTTCTCTCAGTACAAATCATAAGGGATTGCATGGGGTGACTTCAATTACTGTGCCACGAGCCCCCAGGTAACATAGTGATTTATTATCAAAGCAGCACTGTAGTGTGTGATACAAGCACAAATCATGTAAACAGGGTGTCAGCGGCTGACAACAGACAAGCAAAATGTGAATGTAGAATTTATACCCAATATCAAAAAAACGCTGAACACACAGAAAATAGTGAGGTCATCAGAGCTGGTCCATCACAAAGAAGAGGGAAAAGGTGTGTGTGCAAGTACATTTGTGCCCATATCTGTTAGTGTGTTGCTGTATATAAGAATACAATATAAACTAATGGCATGAGACACGCAATCAGCAGACGGTAATCACTACTGGTGTCTTGCTGCTGGGTTCCCTTACTTAAAGAAAATATATTTTCCTTATATATTAAAGATCAAAATATTAAATTGAATTCATAAGGAAAATATACAGAATAATATATTGTGTATATTACAATAATGAATGAATAATACATAAGGAATTTCTTATTTTTTTACATTGAAAAATATGTGACAATTTACTTACATGGATCTCCTATTCACTGCAATCAAATTGAATCAAAGGTTTGTTTATGCTGAGTTCATTCAAAATAGAGATCAACAAGTAAAAATAGCATCATTTTATTCACATGTAATCAGGACTTTCAAAAATCACACCACCAAGGCTAATAAACAAAAAGTTGATTTAAGGGTAAAAGGTGACTTGACACATTGACGAATATGTAAATATATTTAATATGATGTAATGCATAATGTAAATTAAATATATTTAATCTTAAAATAAGGAATAAACTACTCAGCAATGGAGTAAGGAA